GTGTTCAGCCTATGTGATTTGCACAGTTGAAAACTGCTGTGTGTGAATATTCCATCTCCAGCAAGGTAGGTGGAGATTTGGTGCCGGTGCTCAGGAAAGAAGTCCAGCCTCAACCAGGCCGCACGCAGTCGGGACACACGGATCCTCAGCCTGGCACGCCCAGTGCAGAAACAGGGAGCCACCCGGCGTACAGTGCCTGAAAATCAGCCCTGAGCGTCTGGGTCTGTTGGTGATGTTTTCTGCCTTAAGCAGGAGTGTGGTATTCTGAAAGCCCAGAAAGCATTCTTGTTAATCTCCAAATAAAACTTGGTTAAGTGTAGTTTAGTGACTAATTGTCATTGGTCATAATGGCCTTTTAACAGACAAGAATTTGTCTAAACTCATGACTCTAGTTTGAATTTGTATCTTGAATCCTAACTTAGATTAGATAATCCATGAGAAACGTTGCATATCTAAATAGATCAGATCTGAGAAATGTTACATATCTAAAAAGATATTTGTATTATCTTTTTCGGAAATAAAATAACATTTATTTTACTTTTAATCCTAAATGTGCATGGTTCTTCTATTTTAACTTTTGCATATTAAAGAAAAAATTACAATTCCATCCCACGAATGGCCAATATTTAGTCGGGACTTCCAGTTTTCTTCTTATAATTGGTTTTTCCACATAGTGGCAATTATACTTAACAGTTCATATGGTTATTTAATTTTTCCCTTGTGTTATCTAAGCATTTTCATCCTAATTTAAAAGAAAACATTTTTGTGTTCATCATTTTAGTGGTTGGGTTGCTTAATATATCATAAGTTACACCTAGGTATAAAAACAATTATTCTCATACATTTAAAAAGCAAAGTACTCATTAGTGGATTTTAAACATTAAGCAAAGAAAACCAGCCCACAAATCACAATCCCAGAGAACCTAGACAACATTGAGAACATTAAGAGAGACTTACATAGATCTAATCTACATAAGTAGTAGAAAAAGACAAGATCTCCTGAATAAATTGGGAGCATGGGGACCTTGGGAGAGCGTTGAAAGGAAGGGGAGAGGCAGGGAGGGGAGCAGAGAAAAATGTAGAGCTCAATAAAAATCAATTAAAAAAAAAGCAAAGTAGAGCCAAGTGTGGTCTACTGCAATTCACAATCTTAGCAATCAGAAGAAAAAAAGCAGCAAGACTGCTTCCATTGAAGACCAGGTTTGTATGGTATGAACCTAAATCTGGTGTGCATAGTGAGCTTCAAGGCTGCAGAGCAAGGAGCATGTAATGGGCTTTGAGACTATAGAAAAAGGCTGTGCTTCAAGAAAGAAAGGGAGGGAGAGAAGGAAACATCCAGAAAGATTAAATACATGTTCATTTCTTTATTCTTCCTCCTAAGAGAAATCCCCAGGATTCTTTTAATGTAATGTTTTATTAATTCTTGGAGAATTTCATACATGAATTTGATCATATACATCCACACCCCTAACTCCACCTAGATCCTCCCCACCTTAGTGTCCTCTTTTTTTTTATTAACCCACTTAGTCCAGTTGCTGCTGTCAGTATATTCACGAGTGTGGGGCCATCTACTGGAGCATAGTCTGCCTACCAAGAATCACACCCTTAAAGAAAACTGACTCTCCCTTCTGAAGAAACCATCAACTGTTCATACTTGGCTAGGGATGGGGAATTGTGGGTCCCTCCTCACTCCATGGTGAAATGTTGACTGGCATCCGCAGCTGAAGCAAGCTCACAAGTGCGGCAATCCTTCCATGCTCGGATGATGCTGTTGGCTTCTGGTCCTCCGGCTCTTACAATCTTTCTACCGTCTCTTTCACGATAGTCCCTGAGTCTTGGAAGCAAGAGCATGTTGTAGATGTCTCATTTGTGACTGAACATTCCCCTGACACATATTCTTTGCACTTTGCCTAGCTGTGAGTTTCTGTGTTGACCACTATGCACTACACCAAAAAAAAAAAAAAATGTCTCTGATGAGATCTGATAGTTGCACTCATCTATGGGCACAGAGATGTGAATTTAGAGGGCAGGCTGATAACATATCTATTTAGCAAAATAATGCCAGGAGATATACAAGCTAACCAGCAGAGGTAAAGCTTCTGGTCAGTAGCAACACAATTTCTCTAGGACCTGTGACCATAGGGTCTTAGTGTCTTTGGCAATAGAATTTTATCATTAAGTCCTGTGAAACCCTGTGAGTCCACAAGAAAAGAATATAATATGCTAAAAAGTGGAAGAAGCCAAACCATATGAAGATTAGATGCTCAAAAAATGACTTTGAGGTGGGACCCCCCAGATTTCCTTTTTGCCTCTTATATCCCAAAGCAAGAGCTGAGCGGTGTGGGGTAAACACCCCAGTAACATCAAGAAGTATAAACCAGAAAATAATGTCTCAATGGAGACCTTGAGCTCTCTGGATAAAGAACCAGAAAGGGGACCACCTAGAAAGATATAAAACCTTTAGATACTAACCACACAGCCCAAACAAATGCCACAGGGACCGAAGATCATTTTGTCTGTCACCATGCCCGCCAGGAAAGGTCAAGTGAAAAATCCAGACTTCTACCTTTTCCAGGCCACTAAGACCGCTTGACTCCCCACTGGAGTCAAGTCAAAGAAGACTAAGGAAGGGGCCCATGGCTTTCACTCTCACTGGATGATACTGAACCCTTCTCCTATCACAGTGAAGACTATGTGGTGAGCTTGGACGTGATGCCTCATTCTAGCTGTGAGAAATCTTCTTCAGGGGTGGTATCCAAGGAAGCCTGGAGATAAGCAATAACAAGGGCACACAGGAAGCAATAAGACGCTATCCTACCCAGCCAGGAAGTACCTGGGAAAGGAGTCTGAAATCTCAGCCTTCTGGCACTAAAGAGACCTCCCTTTGGGTCTTAAATAAGGAAGTGGGAAACCTGGGCCTCCACGCCTCTTTGGCAGCATGAGATAGTATCACCCTTTCCTTTCAAAACGATGTCAGGGAGACCTGTTTGAACAAGATTGAAATGACAACCAGAGTCTCATAATATTCCAATGTTCCTGTGTCTATCAAAATTCATTTGTCATTTCAGAAGCCAGGAAGATGTCAACTCGAGTGAAAAAGTGCCAACAATAGATTCCAAGGTGCCCCTGGAGATGCCAGAATAGCCCGATGAAGGATTCAACGATGTCATCATAGAAATGCTTCCATGACCGTGTTCTCACTAGCTTCTTCAACAAATGGAACACACAGCAGTGGCTCAGCAAAGAAGTCAGGAAGAGCAAGAGAAGATTTCAGAACTGAAAAATGCCATCAATCCAACATATGACTCTCTGGATAGGCTTAGCAACAGAACTCCGTTGGTGTGCCAAAAAGAAAAGAGAAGAAAACCTGATCACAGAACAGGAAAACGCCAACCAGCCTGAACAACAGAGAGAAATTAACCCAGAAACCATGGAGCATTCTGGGGAGCTTTGGGACCAGATCAAAAGGGCTAAGCTTCATATTCCCCATATCAGGGAGGGGAAGGAAAGTGGATGGCAAAGTGTATTTGAAGAAATAAAGGCTGAAACTTTCCCACATTTTCCAAGGTCAAGCAAATAGACTCGAGAAGATACCCCAACACCCTAAAGGATAGGTTTTGAAGCAAGAGTCCATGCATGATATATGTTGATAAACTTCTGAAAACCAAAGAGCAAGCGTTAAAATAAGAATGAGAGAGAAATAAAACTTTACCTACTGGAAGAAAAACTGTTTAAACAATGGTAGCTTTGACACCATAAACCATTGTACAAGTTTTTGTCATGGAGACGAACACCTGAGAGGGACAGCTTAAAGATTTATTTCTGATCATGGCTTCGGGCTTTCAGTCCATGGCCAGCTGGGTCCATTGGGCCAGTAAGACCGGCTGAGTCTGCAGCAGAGGATGGTCAACTCCTATTGACCAGGAAGTAGAGAGACAGACAAACAGGAAGATGCACACCACCTCGAGTGACTTCCTGCAAAACCCGACCCTACCTACCTCTTCAAGTTTCCCCCACTCCTCAAAACCTTGGCACCCTATAGAATCCAAGTCCTCAACACCTGAGACTCTGGGGGACACAGCATATTCAAATCACTACAACCATGGAGGCCAGTAGGAAGAGGCACAATTTTTTTTCAGATACTAAAAGAAAAGAAATTATCAACACGTGTGTATTTCTTATGTTTACGTGCTTATATATTTGCTCAGAAGATGGCCGCTTTAGAGGCTGGTAATGAAGCACGGTGGACAGAGAACTTGTCTTGTATGCCCAAAGCTCTGCATTTGATGACAGCACTGGACTTGGTGGTGCATGTCTAGGATCCTGACACTCTAGGAGTGGACAAAAGAAGGCTCCAGAGATCACACCTACTGGAACTACAAAGCAAGTATGAAGCCAGCCTGTATATCCAGTTGTAGCAACATATATGTGTGTCTGTCTGTATGTATGTATGTATACATATATATGTGTATTATTAATTTACATTAAGTGTACAAATTAGTGGGTCTCATTGTAACATTTTCACACATACAGACAATGTATTTTGATCGCATTCAACACCATTACTGACCCTTACACCCTCCCCCAGGTCCCTTTCCTCTTCCCACATAGCTCTCTGTTGACTTTCATGTCTTTTTATTTCTAGATTCTGCACACTTATAAAAGAAACACAATCCCCCACTTCATCCCCAAGTCTGACTTATTTTGTTACCATGGTGATTTCTTACTCCACCCATTTTCCTGCAAATGACAGCATTTAGGAGATTGCACAGAACTAAGATGGCCCAATGCTTTGATGTTAATTTCCTGATTTTGCATCTGCAGTTTAATTAAATAAGATGTAAGTACTGGGGAAGCAGAGCTCCCAGGTCCTTGGTATGTCTTCCTCCTAACTTCCTGTGCTTATGAAATTAATTATTTCAAAATCTAAATTTTTTTTAAAAAAATTCAGAAGACAGCTAAAGGATAATTCCTCATTTTTTCTAGTTCTCTTTTGAACACTCATTAAAAAATATACTAATAGCAGTTAACATAGGTTTAAAGTAAAATCAAATTTCAGACCTAAAACTTTATATCAAACATATTTAGATGACACAGCTCTTCTAACAATAGAAAGCTGTGAATATACTTAAAATGCTTTCCAGACAAATTAACATCCCGACTCTAGTATTGCTCCGATAATAAAACTGGTAAGAAACTCAAAGTGCAATGCTAGAAAATCGCAAACTACAGCCATTTGGAATGTTCCAGCAGATAAGCATCTTCACGGGTTGTTTGGCTACCGCCTGCCTCTGTCTTCTCTGTCTTTACCATACTTTTGTTTCAGCTGTAAGATTATAATATATAGAGTATTATTTATATATAGTTAATTTCAATATATCTTAAATAATGTATTTTTATTTATCATATATGTATATTTCTGTTTGTTTGTTTAACATTTTTCTCAGTTCCTGTAAACACTTCTTG